CGAACTCCTCCTAGGGATTTTATCCGATCGACACCAAAATTGGGTTTTGTCATCTAATATCGCCTTGGCGATATTAAATTGCGAAGCTGTAGAGTTTTCGTTGATGGGCGTGTCCGTGGCGGCCTCGCAAACTTTGACGATTCGCCACAAAACAGGAAGTCGTTATAACTCAGGCATGCATTATCCAATCTGCCTCAAAATTCACACGCTTGATAAGAGTCCTGACCTGAATACGTTTATATGCTGATATCCAGATACAGTTATAGCGCCACCTGCTGGCCACAGGAAATGGCATGTTTTACAGTGTGACTAACTCCTCCCACAAATTTTATCGTATCAGCACCAAATTTGAGTGGTGTTATCTGAAAGCTCTAGCGATTATATATTGTGAAGATCTAGAGTTTTCGCAGAGGGGCGTGTCCGTGGCACCATGACAAGCCTCAACGCTTCGCCATGGAAGAGGAAGTCCTTATAACTCAACCACACAATGTGCGATCTGCCTGAAACTTCATGAGGTTGATAAAAGTCCTCTCCTGAACACATCTTCATAACAATATTGAAGTGGGCGTGGCAAAATGACTCGACAGCGCCACCTACAAAAACTAATCGGACGAGCCCCCGATCCACGAATCACGCACATGCACGAAAATTGGCACACACCTCAAACATGGCAAAACATACGAAAAAGTCTCTTGGAGCCATATCTCAAACCCAACAGGAAGTCGGTTATTTTTAACTTCCTGCGGCGAAAAAGTGGCATTTTTGCCTTTTCCAGGCGTTGTATTTTAACGAACTCCTCCTAGGGATTTTATCTTATCAACACCAAATTTTGGTTTTGTCATCTAAAGGCCTTGGCGATGTTAAATTGCGAAGCTTTTGAGTTTTCATCGATGGGCGTGTCTGTGGCGGCCTCGCAAACTTTGACGATTCGCCACAAAACAGGAAGTCGTTATAACTCAGGCATGCATTATCCAATCTGCCTTAAAAATTCACACATTTGATAAGAGTCCTGACCTGAATACATTTATATGCTGATATCCAGATAGAGTTATAGCGCCACCTGCTGGCCACAGGAAATGACATGTTTTACATTGTAATATACTCCTTCCGCAAACTTTATTATATCAGCATCAAATTTGAGTGATGTTATTTGAAAGCTCTAGCAATGATATATTGTAAAGATCTAGAGATTTTGCAGAGGGGCGTGTCTGTGGCGGCATGACAAACCTCAACGCTTCGCCATGGAACAGGAAATGCTTATAACTCAACCACACAATGTGTGATCTGCCTGAAACTTCACAAGGTTGATCATATTCCTCTCCTGAACACATCCACATAACAATATTGAGCCTGTCATAGCGCCACCTTCTGGCAGAAGGTAGTTTGGCTTGTAACTCAACCACACAATGTCCGGTCTGCGTGAAACTTCACATGGTTGATGAAAGTCCTCTCCTAAGCACATCTACAAAATGATATTGAGTCTGTCATAGCGCCACCTGCTGATAGAAGGTATTTTGGCTTATAACTCAGCCACATGATCTCTGATCTGCCTGAAACTTCACATGGTTGATTAAATTCTTCTCCTGAAGACATCTACATTGCAATATTGAGTCACAGTCATAGCGCCACCTGCTGGCAGAAGATAGTTTGGCTTATAACTCAGCCACACAAATTCTGACCAGCCTGAAAATTTACATGGTTGATTAAAATCCTCTCCTAAAGACATCTACATGCCAATATCGAGTCACAGTCATAGCGCCACCTGCTGGCAACAGGAAATTACATATAACTCAGCCAAACAATGTCCGATCTGGCTGAAAATTCACATGGTTGATAAAATTCCTCTACTGAAGGCATCTACATGCAAATCTTGAGTCAGAGTTATAACGCCACCTGCTGACAAGAGAAAGTTTGGCATGAATAAGTGATTTTCTCAGGTTCTATATATAAATCGGCTTAAATTAATATTGTTCGCTGTTTTCTGTCATCCTGAGGCCAACAGGCGTTGAGCCCGGGTGCGAGGTCCCTTTCATCGCTGCTTGCAGCTTTAATTGACTTTGTGTTTGTGCATTTAGCAAGTTTTTAAACACGTGAATAGACTAAAATGTCATTTATTTACAGAACTTTGAAAATGTCAGTTTGAATATACAGACTTTTAACTTCATCTCAATCGTGTCTTATATAAAATAAACTGACCTTGAAGTGCTGTATATACAAACAACTTGTACAAAAACAGTGCTCATACCTCTGAAAATCATCAGAACGTTTTTTATCCAACTTTGTAATACAGTTTTCCTCTGGTTGAAAACAAACAGTGCATAATATTCCTTTTTTTGCATAACTCAGTTTAGAGAAAAATGCGATGTTTCTAAATGCCGCCCACCATGAAAGGTTATTCACATTATACATTGAATTGCTATCTCAGATGTAATATTGCCCCCTCAGGTGCATCATTTATGTCTATTGGATATGTAAATTGTTTCTTACTCAGTGCCTGTATCTAACTAAAGGGAAGATTATTGCATTATTGTGAGTCTGTAGCGTGAAAACATGTTTGCACATTGTTCCATTACAGCTTGCTATATTACACACCCTTTAATGCTATATGTATTTACAATATGTTATTTTGTGTTAAGGAGTTCTGTAGGTTTTGACATGTTGCTGTTTACTGAGTAAATTGCTTGCTCAATGCAGTAAAAAGCAAACAATCAACCATTGGAAGACTTCATTTATTGGCCTGTATAAAAGTGCTATAAATGTCTCAATTCATTCTGGCCCTCAAATTTATCAACAAACCATTAAGAATGTTTCACTTTGTTTACAGTAATAGTATACTACCAAACTGTGCAGAAAAATACGTTGTGGCTCACTGTAAACTTTTGACTTGTTTTTGTTGGTAGATAGAAATAAAGGAAATAATTTTTGTTCATATTTTGTTAGATCCTTCCTTGTGAGTTAATATTTATGGATTCTTTACATTTACATTGATGCATTTATCAGATGCCCTTACTAAAGCAATTTGTAAAGGAGCCCCAAGCACTTTATCAAAGAGACAACAATTACAATACACAGGGCAAGGTTTATTAGACAATCAGATTAGAAAACAAGAGGGTAATTGCATTTAAAAATGTCTTCAGCTTCTTCTTTAAAAGGTGATGTAAAAATTCAGTAACATTGGCATCATTCCACCAGAGTGGAACAGAGAGAGTAAAGGTTTTGCAATGTGAAAAAGCTGTATTGAATTCACAATAATGTTACAATGCTTACTATGTTAACACCTAAGGTTGTTATCTGCAGCTGCAACTGATCACAGCTGTGCAGATAATTGGTAAAACAGAAATCTTGTTTTTTTATGTGATATTGTTTGGTTTGAATGTGCTTGAAGACTAGATTCCCACATAAAGTATTAATTAAGTGTACTACATTCAAGTACGCATTTTCACATGTATAGAAAAAGTGTACAACCATAAAATACAATAAATAATTGGAAGAAAATTAGAGAGCGATTACAGGGTTTTCTTTCTTTCTTTCTTTCTTTCTTTCTTTCTTTGTCTTTTTTGTCTTTATATTTTTTTATTTTCTCTTCTTTCTTTTTTTCTTTTTTCTTTTTTACAGTGGAGGGTTCTTCATTTAGCTGTGGCTGTCAATGCTTTTATTTCTGTGTTGAACTGATGTTAGTCATGAATTACTTTTTGCACCCTTTGTAAGACTGTTTTTCATTGTTTCATAGATTGTTGTCATCTTTTGTCATTGTTTTTGTGGCTAGAGTGTTTTTTCAGTTTACTTTTTTATAAACAGTTGTTCTTCTTGGGGTATAGATTTTCACAAAAAACAGAGAACAAGGTCAATTGTACAATTTTATTTTGGGAAGAGCAAAATTGAGTTGACAAAACAAGATGGAAGGTTTCTCAGATGTTGATGTTGTTTGTATTTTAAAAAAATGTTAAAAACTCATTTAAAAATAGATTTCTTTCTTTCTTTCCTTAGTTTCAACAGCTGCCATAGTCGCAAACAGTTAAGCATTAAACCACTTTTAAAACAGCATTTCTGCCTATCATCCTTTGTGCCTAGGAATTTTTTTCATTTTAATATTAATATTTTTTGTGTGTGATCATTTTGGCTCTAATGCAAACAGCATACATTTTGCATTTTAATTGAATTTGTATTCCATCCTCATTTACTTTCATGAGTCTATTTTACACTACACAAAAACTGTTACATTTAAGACCTCCAGGACAAAATTCTCATTGAATCCTCATTGAAGCCCATTAAAAGAGTAATATTTTATCCCATTGCTATTTAAGCAGGAAATCCTACTGCACATATAGCCTCTCATTTTGTTGACAAACCTTGCAACTGTAAAATGTAATATTTGTCTTGTATATTACCCCCCACACACCTTTTATCTGTTTTTAGAACTAAATTAATTTAAATGACGTAATTACAATTATGCGTTGTGGTTTGGATATCAGATTTTGTTTTGTGGGAGTTTTCTGAGAAATTTGTTTAAATGGAATGTTATTAAATGTTAATAAAAGTACTTAAATATCATACTGTACAACTGATTATATATTGATTATTGTCCAAGAGTGCGATATAATAAAAAGTATAATATGTTTTTCATAAAAAAACAACAACAGTGACATTATATAATCATACAGTAATTTAAAATGCTAAAATATTTAAATTAATACATTTTAGGTAATAAACTGGACTTATTTTGGCAAGCTATATCAGTTTATGTGAAAAAAATTTATCAAAACATCACACTTTTATGATAATGTTTTGGAAGCTATTTTGTTCAACTTTTAAAAGTGTATTAACACAAGGGTCAGATTCCATAATACGCAACACAAAAAGCTCCATCAACATTCAATCATAAACCACTGCCAGGACGAATATTCCCACCTGACTGGTGCTGATGCTTATGGTGAGTTTGTCTCCGCCCACCGTGGCGCGCCATTGGCTGCTTCGGCCAGTATGCGAGCGGCACCTGCGAGTCTGAGTGCACTAGAACGAGGCTCTCTAGCGGGGCACAAGCAGGCGCGGTGCCTGAAGTTCAGCGCGCCGGAATGATGATGTCTGCAGATCTTCCAGAAACAAGTCAGACCATTAAAGTCAAAGAGACCGCTAGAGCAAGAAACAAGGAGCTGTCACAACATCATAAAGATGGACGAAATCAGCCCTTAAAATGACTGAGCGAAACAAAACAGAAATGGGAAGTACCAGGAAGAGAGCACGGCGCTTTTTGGAGATCATCACGGTTCTCGCGCTCTGTGCACCGCACGCCAGCGGTCGAGGTAAGGGCTGTGTGTTGGAGAAAATATGGTGTAAAATTTAGAAGGTTATGAGCGCACCAAATCCCCGTTTGCCATTCGTTAAACTTTTATACTGGATAGAGAATCTCCTGAGACCTGTTTGATTTCGCGCATCGCCCGCGCTGTTGTGCACGAGTTCGAGTTTATTGTTTACACAGTAGACAGAGAGTGTTTTTAACACGCGTTAATTGATCCTAAGTATAATTGCAGCCGTGGCAGTATATTCGTCGTTTTAATGGATTGTGGTAGGATGTAAACATCGAGGTGACTTGCAGTGGAATGGAAAGTTTGTAACAAATCAGTTCTGAAAGCGAGCAGTGATTTTTCCACTATTTCAGGATTGTTGGGGGAACAGATGAAACTGAAGAAATATGTAAAACTGGTGCGGGAGTTTTTTTTTTTTTTTTTGATAGAAAGTCAATGTTCAACAGGAGACCATGCGTTTATTGTGTACTCAATGTTATTCAATTCACGCTTAAATGAAAAAATAAGACATTTAAGCCAGTGCTGAAACCAGAGTTTGAGCGCATATCTTCGACTCGAGACAGATGGTTTTATGGTATGTTGTGAAAATTCAGTGTTCAGCAATATTTTTCCTTACGCGTGTCTTGTGTGGGTTATGAAGACTCTTGTGCTGTCTTATGCTGTGTGATAGCTGTTTTGTAATCATAAATTTAGAGGTTTTGTTTTGTATTTATAGGCAACATAACATTTACATTTTTAATTTTTATTGGATAATTCAAAATTAATTTTAATTTACAAAAGCTATGGGTATTTTAATTAGTATTCCTTTGGCCAGAGTTCCTGGAGGCACACCAACAGTTCATATTTTGGATGTCTCCCTTATCTGACCGATTAACTTTAGGTTTTGGAGTCTCTTCTTATGTTCTGATGAGTTGATTCAGGTGTGTTTGATTTCGGAGAGGTTGAAAATGTGTACTGTTGGTGTGCCTTCAGGAATAGGGTTGGGAAACACTGCATTAGACATCATTTATATTGTTACAACAATATAAATGTACAAACAATATCATGGTAATTAAAAAAAATAAATAAATTGCACTGTAAAAAAATGCTGGGTTCCACACAATGGCTTTGTGTTGTCCCAACACAAATCGATTAAGTTAACTTGATTCTTTTCACAAATTGAAGTGGATTGAACAAGTAGCAAAACATTATTTTAGTGTGTGTGGTTGCATTTACATTTTTTAAAGTTAATTATATTTAGTGTTGTTATTCCAGGTTTCCCATGCTTATTGAACACCTTTTTCTAAACTAATTAAAATGTACTAAAATGTTAAGTGAAGTGTAAATAAATTTTTGATTATCGATTGATCTCTGCAATCTCTATGAAACATTTATTTATTTACTTATACTTACTTATTTACAATTATCCAGTTGTCCTGAAAGACTTAAGCTTTTATAAGCTCTCCAAAAGGTCAGGTTTTAAGTCACAGCAGCTTGTTATTCTTGCCTGAGATGTCTTGAAGCTTGTGAGATTTAGCTGTTCTGAAATCAATGTGGATGAGCATCATATCTTCACAATGAGTACTACTCACGTCAAGGGTCAGGAACTGAGACCTCTTGCGTGCTACACTGCTCTCAGCGAGCCCAATGGGGCCTATATGAATTTTTAAAAGGGTTCTCAATGCATCCACTCGAGCGTGTGTGCCCCGTGGATCCCACATAACGGCACGCGATGGTTAGCTTTCTTTTTCCCTCCTAGCAGAAGGTGGCACAGATTGCATCGACATGAGAGTAAATTAATGTCTATCAGCACAAGTTTGTACAATGGCGAAGCTAAAATATAGCTCCACGGATAATCTTAAGTTTTTTAAGTATGTGGAGCACCCTGATTAGTCATTCCTGCTGTTGGAAAAGTTGGCACAATGTTTACCAAATCACTTTCAGATGCTTGTACTTAAGACTTTTGGATTTAGTCAGAATAAAATAATTTATTTAAATGTCATAAATGTTTTAGTACAAGTGAAATTGTCATCTTTTCCATGCAAAGTTGAACTGACAGACTTATGAAGATATGCACTTAATTCTGCATATTAAATAGACTTCAGTTGGCCTTATGCACTTTCTTTGAGGCCAATATCTATTTAATTGTTCAATTTGATTAGGCTATACATTATGTGAACTTTTGCTGAATAAAGTCTCTATTGACTTTGCATAAACTTGCTGTAGCTGTATTAGATCTGCACATGTAAATATTAGTTTACCTTTTACTGAGGGATTTATTCTAAATATATAATACTGCACAAATATAAATACATACACAGTGTTTTAGCAGCAACAATCTAATTTTAGAAGTGCAGAGTTGTCTAGCGGCCAAACTCCACTAGTGGACCACTCATTGAGAGAAAGCAGCCAAATCTGGAAGCGACACAGGTTCTGTGCATTTTCCTCGCAGTTATAAAAATCCATCACCAGCTCGCGTCTGCTTGCGCTGTGCCAATGCAGTGCTGCTCACTGCTCAAATTTACATTTAAATGAAACCAAATGACTGAACACTCACAAATGAGAGTCAGTAAAAAAGCACCACCTTCTTGTTTAGCCAAAATACGATTCTTGAAACTGCTATTAGGCTCTAATAGGATCAACAGCGGTAAATAAGGAAATTACATGAAGGATCCCTGCTTTTTTTTTTTTGAGAAAGAAAAAGAATTCTCATATTTGGCCTCCAGAGATGGAATAAATCAGGTAAGTGAAAGTACCTAGAGAGTGTAACCTTGAGCATTATTATAACCTCATAGCCACACTTGTATGTGTGTGCAAAAGAAGAAAATGAGCCTGCTGTGACTGCTTTTCACTATGCATTTCTTCAGCTGGGGGCTGTGTGTAAATATTTATTTTTTGGACGGTGAGGAGTGAATTTAACTACATTAGTTTAAAGTAGAAGCAATGTGGGCCGCTCTGCCATCAGGCTTTATTCTGTTTTTCATCTCCTCTCTCCCACCTTCAGAATGATCAGTGAAGCGCATAGTCAAAGTGTTTAATCATGTGCAAGCTGTAAAAAGATGCTATAAACTTGCACATATTCAAGAGATATAGAAATAATGTTTCAAAGTGAGCATTGTTGGCATTCAAATCTTCTTGTTTTCTAATTTAAGCTTATGTTTGAAAATGCAAGATAATATCTGGGCAGATGTTTTCACACATTTTGCAACACTTATGAAGTTGCTTTTGCTTAGGGCTGCACAATATATCGTTTCAGCATCGATATCGCGATGTGATCATTTGCAATGTTGAGTTTGTGATATAATTTATCATCTGCATGTGTTTTAATGCCTGTGATTGTATAATGATTTTAAAAGCATTTAGGTATAAGAAATTGTACTATTTGTGGCCTTAACTAATGATTGATTTTATTTAATTTTTTAAAATTTATCATTCAGTTACTTCTGATGGTATGATAACCTTGGATTAAAATATCACTGTTTTACGGTATCTCGGTATTGTGATTACTGCTCTAAAAAATGTTCTTTTAAAATGTCTGGTTAAAAAACTAAAACTTTTTCTTTTCCTCTTTAAACACAATATATTTTATTTTGAGAAACATAATATTTTGGAACAGTAAACATGTCAGACTAAATTAATTATTGACTACTGCTGTTTTCATTTGTTTCAAAACAGATTTTTTTAATATTTAAATCGGCATCTTTGGATCTTTTCTGCTGGAGATATGGTTTTCCTAAAAAAAAAAAAAAGAAAAAAAAAATCGTACACATATAGGTTTGTTAAAGCAAAAACATGTTGACGGTTTTTGAAAACCTTGTCTTTTCCAAATCGCGGTATACCTTGAAAACGGTTATCGTCCCATGTCTAGTTACTCTACTTGAATACTGTTAGACTAGAGAAATGATAAACACTTTATTTCAATTGTATATATTTTCTTATTTATATTTCTAGATTGTTATGCATGAAAATACAACACAGGCAAATAGTGAAATTCACTGCAAATAGCACAGACCACAACAAAAACGGATCGGGGGACCCCAAAAAGTTTATAAATTGTTTTTTAGATTTTATGGAGATGCGAATAGTAAACTTTAATTCATCAATCTCTGACTGAACGTGCGCATGAAAATACTCAAAACAAATGCAAATACAGAAACGCACTGCAAAAAGCACAGACAACAATGAAAATGTGTTGGGGCACAACAGAATTTTTTTTAAGATTGTTTATTAGATTTTATAGATATGCTCTCCCACTGCAGAACCATCCCAGTTGATCTAACTTTATAAATTCTTTCCAAATAGAGAAATGAAGTCATATAGTGAAATTGTATTCACATCGCAATGTATATTGCAAAGTAACAAATTATCGCAATGTTGGAATTTTCCAATATCATGCAGCCCTACTTCCGGTAACATCCACACAGACACGTGTAATTTTGTACATTAGATATTGTAAAATATTATATTCAGAAAAATTCGTATTGCTGCAGTCAGAGAAGAGTTGTGCGAATATTGAAAAATTAAATATCTTAATGGATTCAGACAATTTTTGCATAATTTTATAAATGTGTACGTAAATGTCATATATTACACTGTCTTCCTTTTACAATGCAACTAGTAAGATGCAGAAAGCTACACTATTTAAATTAAATGACTAACTTCAAGTTCAACAGCAACAAAATAGCTGTGTGTAGAAAAGCTTGTTTTTCTCTTTGGAGATGCACAATATGTTTTGACCCCAAGGTTAATATGAATATTTACCATATTTTTTTTGCATTGCCTAGAGAATAAAAGGCCTTCTTATCTTCAGTAATGTACACATTGTCTTTATATGGTGTTGCTGATAAAATCTGAAAGTTTGAAGATTTTCGTTCTCTTACACCTAAATATTTGACTTGAACCAAGTTTTTACCCAAGGCTGAATTAAACAGCCCTGGCCTGCATAGTTTCATCTTGTGTAAAAACGTAAGTAGTTTAAAGATAGTTTGAAAAAAATGAAATGAAAATTTACTCAGCAT